CGGCCTGGGTCCGAACAGGTAGCAATCTGTTCGAAAACAAAAGAAAAGGTCCAAACGTTTTTAGGAGCTCAGCCTCTGGGCCTGAATCTGGCCCTGGTTCTAAAACGTGTACCTGGCCACAAAACGGACAACAGTACAACCGTTAGAAAAACAGCAGCAAATAAATAAATAAAAGAATATAAAATAATCTAAAGCTGGCGTTTTTCTGATGCAGGCCCAAGTAAAAATGCCATAGGGCCTTCAGGTTGCGGTGACGCGACCTGGGGGCCCTATTCCAACCTCGGGTCCAGTGAGGGGCCCGTGTGTAGGCTTTCAGCATGTAACACCATCTCTGAAATCCTCCTGCTCCCCACTCTGAGAACTCTCTCTCTCTCTCTCTCTCTCTCTCTCTCTCTCTCTCTCTCTCTCTCTCTCTCTCTCTCTCTCTCTCCCCCGACCGTGTGTCACTCCCGCTATCCCGCTATCCCGCTTCCCTTCTCTCTCTCTCTCTCTCTCTCTCTCTCTCTCTCTCTCTCTCTCTCTCTCTCTCTCTCTCGCACGCGCGCGCGCATGCGCTATCCCGCCCCGCTATCCGGCTTCCCTTCTCTCTCTGTCTCTCTGTCTCTCTGTCTCTCTCTCTCTCTCTCACACACACACACACACACACACAGCGAGGGGGCAAAATGCAAAGATGACTTGGGCCACTAGGGGTAAAATGAAAATACATAGGGCCTGGGAAAAGTTGGCAAGTACCGGGACATTTGCAAACATGGACAGTACCCGGTAGGGGTATTTTGCAAATATGACAGGTCCAACCGACGTCAGGGGCATTTCGCAAAACATTTTTTGTGTCAGAGGGGTATTCCGCTCTACCTAGATCTTTTGAGGGCATTTTGGCATACATCTCAACTTATAGGGGTATTTCGCAAACTATGCCTACTTTTTAACGCCTTTTTTGAGTTTTTGTTATAGTTTTTGACTTTCAACTCAAGTTTGCTTAGGAATTCTGACATGACTCTGGGGCAAAAGTGGTTTGCATTGTTATTCTGCATAACATACTTTTTTTAAGTTCTTTTTTCAGATTTTTGAACATTATTTTTATTTTTATTTTGTTTTGGTGGTCCGGACATTTTCGGACCTGCTTACCGGTCTGGACCGTCCGGAACCATGCGTGTCCGGACGTCCGGACCTGACCGGACATGCGTCCGGTCCCCGGACATGAGCTGTCCGGGTCCGAGTCCGGCGTAGCCATGGTACTTAGATATGCCATTACAGAATGCAAACGTTATGATGGTAATAGGAGAGGCAGGCAGCATAGAAGAGGGAGCTACGCCGGGTCCGAGTCCGGCGTAGCCATGTTGCTTCTTTCCTTCTCTTGGCCCACTCCCTCATCCCACCTTTGCTCTGAGGGACAGTTATCTGTGGGGGGGTTGCTGGAGGGGTTGGAGAGGGAGCTTGCCAGATGCAGGAGGGCGACACATTTCCAGTGGTGCTCATGCTCTCTCCACTTCTTCCAGACTAGGTTCAGACTCCAAAGTTCTGTGACCGCTCTTTTCTCCCCCATCCATTCAAAATTTTTCCTCTCTCAGTTGTGCTGATGGAAATACATTTTTTGAATTTTTTTCCTTTCTGTATTATGTCCTTATTTGTCACATTCTATTAGGTCCAGGCAGTTTTAATACAGGTGTGGATGTAGACTGTAATATGCTCCCTGGCCTGGAGGAAGCCAAAAGTTTGATGCTTTTGTTCGAAGGCACATCTTGCACGCTAGGCTACCAGCAGTATCTCCAGTTTCGTGACTGCGAACGGTTTTCGTTCATAAGATGCAGCGTCCGCGGGCAGATCCTCTTGTGTTCTGCCGGGCGGGGGCCAAGGTTTGCCTGTTTGAGCCCGCCACACTGCTGCTGCCCACCATCTCCATATCTCTAACTACCATTTGGCAGGCCAGTCGGCAACGCTCCAAGGTGGCTCTTCATGGTGGGGAGGACTTGTTACAATAGGAGCATATTGGGGCCAGGAGGCCCCACTTGTTCCCGACTGGTTCTGGATACCACACTGTAAAGTGTGGGCAGACATCAGTAGATTCTCTGCCATTGAAAGGCCCATTGTGAACTCGGCATCGTAAGAGAAGACTTGGAGGCTCGCCACACAGGCTGTTGAAAATGGGATTTTCGACAGTTTTCCATGGCCACACAGACTTTCGAAGAATTGCCGCCCAAAATAACTTCGACAGGTGTCAGAATGGTACTCTCGACAGCCGCCCTCCCCCATTCGTTTCCTCCTGCCTGCAGGAGACAGAAATTCAAAAGCGGCCCATCTTCCGTTAGAGAATTGTGTTCAAATTTCCGTCATCTGTCAAGGACTGTTCCGAGACAGCTGCGCCCTGTCCAAAGGCGGAGTCCATTTTGCCATGATCAACAACCTTGCCTCGCTCCTCGACAGCCTGTGTGGCGAAGGGGGGTCAGCCGCCTGACTTTCAAAAATTTCTGACAGCTATCGAAACTCGAAGAGTTTTTCGACAGCCTGTGTGGCGAGCCTCTTGGACCATGCAAAAGTTTCCAGGTCGTGTCATGTCAGAGAAGATTCAGCTGCCACGTAATCCTACATCACTCCGTCAGTTGGCTTCCTCTTATGAAACAGAAACAGTATCCCTCTTTTTTCTTCTTTTTTTCCCCCAATTTTATCCTCCTCAACAGTACGATTCGAAATGTGGCTTGTCATGTTTCCGTCTGGTCCACTGTCATTCATCCGGGTCCCAAGGGAGCACAGCTATGGGGGAGTTTACGAAACTGGCGAGTAAATTGTCCTCCCTTTCTCTGTCCCCCGCTTCGCTCACCTGACCCACAGCTTGTACTGGGATGTCTTGTCCAGTCCCCGATAGCTGTGGGACAAAAGCCTCCAGATGCAAGGTACCCTTTGATACGGCTGAGACACAATATAGTTGTTAAAAGACTAAAGAAGCGAAGTCTTCAGATTCTATGTGGTAAGGAGGAGATTGCTTTCATCACCTGCAAGCAAGCCATTAACGACATCTTCGAGATGCACACCTCTCTCGCCTTCGATCTTCGCACATCGTCAACATGTAAGAAAAAAGCTCCTATTACAGACGTGGATGAAGTTAGAGATGAAGACTCGGAGGGAGCAGAAATCCATGACACACAACAGGCGAATGTTGAAACTAACAAGGACAAGCCACAGGTGCACCGCCCATGGCAGGCGGGGCGCTGGCATGTGACCCTGCGGCACCAACGACGCGGTGCACGCATGCGCGTGCGCACGCGCACGAGAGAGAGAGAGAGAGAGAGAGAGAGAGAGAGAGAGAGAGAGAGAGAGAGAGAGAGAGAGAGAGAGAGAGAGAGAGAGA